TAGCGCTGAGCAACTTCGACTACCTCGATCTCAGTGCAATGTCCGAGGATTGAACTAAGGTTGTTGTGCCATGTGCACCCGCGGATACCCATGTATTACTGATCTCACTTTGTACATTTTGATAGTCGTTCGTACATACTGACAGGCCATTCTGATCCAATATAATGTTGATTTTTGTGTATTTTGACAATGACCGACGAGTGAATTCGAACTAATTCATTAGTATTCAGAAGAAATCACTTGGAATTCGAACTAATTCGTTGAAACTATGACCGGACTTAAATAAAACAGTAAAACATGATTTCGCTGAAAATCAAAGGAAAACCAGGGATTTACTGGAAATTACCTCGATTTCGGGGGGAAGGCTTTCCCTGATGCTACCCCAACTTGAACAAGTTGATCTAACACTTCGCGTTCGTGACTCAGTACTCAACAGAGGCATAGACGACAACTTAATACCGATGTTTATGATTCATGCAAAACAAATTAAACAATAACATCAATCTGATAGATCGTAGGGCACACCAGGCACTCCAACGTGATGATGAAATACCATTCACCGTTGGACAGAACTCGAGAGGAGGGGGCTGACCCAGACGATAGCTTTACTCGGGCTGTCGTGATTCAGGTCAAGAAAACTGGGTCAACTACGGAGTAAGTACATAATTTGCTCCACCGACTCGACCATGTCAATTAATTCGACTCTGTTGATCGACAGGGAGATGACGACCCACTATCTGTCTTTGAATCGGGATCGGTCACATACATCACATACTCCTGGGTTCAACAGAACGGCCTTTGCTCCAACGGTATCTATCACATCAGTCATCAGTCGAATGAAAACTATGGTCCTCTTCACTACCACTGACCATTGTCCCTCGAATATCTCTACTTCACACAGACGAGAAGCCGTTAGCTTCATTCAGATAAAATTTAAATCCATAGACCACCAAGCCATCATTCAGAGAACGTAGCGGAATCCTTTTTCTTCGATCCCTTGCTCCTGCTCTTCTCTCTCCAGCTTCTCGTTCAATGTCTTCAGATGCTGTCTGAGAATCCAAGTCATCGTAATCACGATAACGTTACAAGCGATCACAATGGTATAAGAGTATCGATAGGTAGGGCCCCAATTAGTTGGCCAGACGTACCTGCCATCTATTTCATCAATGAAATTTTAAATAATCGATCAAACTACTCACGACCCTGAGATGCTGCCTAGTTGTTGAACTGCATTGATAAGCGAAAAACATACTGCACGCTTTGACGGCGGTCGCGCAAATGTGTTACTCTCCCACGTGGTCATCAAGACACTTGCTGAATTGGACTGCGCCAGGAGGAAGCTGTTGAGGAGGGCCACTATCAGCGAGACGTCCGAAATCAACATTATGTGCCTACAGAGAGATGTATCGGGCTGCAGTGTTCATGGTACATATCGAAATAAGGGATCCAATTATGCCAATGAGGTTCGAAATGCTCATGTGCAAGAACCTTTCTTGTGTTTTATCAGAGTGTCTGAGGAGGTCTTCAGACCAGTTCCTATATCGTTCGATATCCCAGCTTACCTGGTCCACACGAATGTGAAAATGGCAGCATATATCCAAGGAGGCGCAACGAGGAGCAGCGATGCCGTTGGGTTGTAGCCAAGTGTTGCAGTCAGAGTAGGGAAATAGCCAGTGAAGGATACCGCTATAATCTGAGCAATCAATAGTGTTGCGATCCACCACACCTTCCAGTCGCCGATGGCGAGGTAAAAGCCGTAACCGAAGCCACCGTTCTCAGTTTCTAACTGGTCTCCGACACCAGCATCCTCCTCCATACGCTTCAGTGCAAGCCGGCGCTCGTCGTCAGTAAGCCACTTTGTTGTCGTTGGAAAGTCCGGCAAAACAAAGACAGCAATTATCGCAACGGTGACAGTCAGGCTTCCTTCGATATAGAAAAGCCACCTCGTAAATGAAACTCAACAAAGTCCTTTGACGAATCAACTGGATTGAATTACCTCCACGCGGCTCGTGCACGGACGCCGTCCATGTTAGCAAGAATACCTGATGCGATGAGAGCTCCGAAGGCGTTACTGATCATGTTTCCGCTGTAATGGTGCTGTCAATGAATAGATACATCCACCAGCATAGTAGTACCCTTACCAAAAGAGGATGGCTAATCTGGAACCTATCTCTGTTCTCTTGTACCTGCACATTTAATTTCAGGACTTCGGCTGAATACTCGATGATTAACGAACCACTTCGAAATCAAGAACACGGCGCCGGGGAAAAAAGCTGCTTCTATGAAGCCAAGAAAGAATCGCGTTAGGAGCGCTCCAACGAAACTATTATGAGGAGTATGGTCGGTCATCTGTCAGACATCAAGATCGGTCATACTTTGTAGTAATTCCAGTCAGCGCCGATATGACTCCCCAAATTACCATACAAGCAGGCATATAAAGCGACGGCTTTTTGATGTAATTGAGAAACATATTAGAGGGAACCTGCATAATGATGTATCCGACATAGAGGATAGACAACAATGTCGCATATTGTGGACCCTCGAGATGGAGGTCGGTGGTGAGCTGTGTGCGTGCCGCACTTGATGTGTTGTGAATGATGCATCAGCTATTCATGACAAGGGCATACCTAGCATTGTTTCGATCGATCTAGTACACAAATGAGATATATATCAGGCGCCTTGACGGGAGGTTACTCACGAAATTGAGGATATAGATGAGGACCAGCATTGACATGTGCAGGTCGAGTTTCAATAACAACCTGCGCTCCAGCTGGTTTCGTGCCTCTATACCACCGAATTCTACATCGACATCGAGTTCTTTGTACTCGACATGCTCCTTCGAGGGCGAGATCGGTGCAGTGTCAGAAGGGTCAGGCGCCATGATGGGGTGATGATAGTGGGGTCTGAGGCCTGAGGGATGACCTCAACGGTTCGATGTGCCTTATAGATTGGAAACGCAAGCCAATTTCATATCGATTAGTCTGTTGGTACCTTGAGCTGATGCGCCTTGGGGGTGTACGTGCAGTACCGGACCGTCGTCATTAGTGATAGAAGCCTGAACAGATAAGAGCCATTGTCCCGCCCACACGGTCCGATTGGATTCCGTCTCGTAGAATCATAGGATACTCGACAACCAACCATTCCGTTCTATAAAGATATTTTTCAATGGAGTTAGAGCTAGCTGGGAGTCTAAAAGTCACGTACGCTACGCAGGGTTGCTGAAGCCGCTCAAGACTACTAGTAAGTGTTCGTGCCTAATCCCGCAGCTGCATCAGAGAAGAGTCCGTAACATGGTAGCCGTGGCGACTATAGGATGACATAATTCTGCTTCTGCTAAACATCGTCACTGGTCAGCGATGATCGGGCTAACCGTCAAACATATGTAGTGCAATGTTATGGGGAATGTGATATCTACCTGATTGCTTTTGGCTCGGTTAGGGTTTGGAGATGGAGCTCTAGAGAGCGAGCCTGTCTCAAGGTTAAACGTCAGCATGGCTACATCATCAACGCGTCATCGATGCATCATCTGACGCTGATTGGACACCGCGTGCAGTGTCTCGACGCATATTTAGAAGTACTGAGTATAATATTGAACGTTCACGTTCGAACGTTGAACGAGTTTTTTGCAGCGGAGTCAAGTTGCCTGCAGTTTCAAAATTTTCTTACTTAACCAGTTGCAAACAGCTCACCAATATCAAAGGCAGCAGTAAGTGAAAACATGACACTAACAGCTGGAGCACGAACTGTTCTCATCAGTTCTGTACCACAGACAGTGTCAAAGTAGCAATTGATTGCAATTAGCGGTATAAATTTGATGGGTTCAAAGAAGAATCAGATACAGAAACCAAAACTTGCAAGTCGTCAATCGATCGAAAGATCACGAACCAGAGAAACAACCTGTAGAGCACGCCCAAAATCATCGGCAGACCACAAAAACCAGAGAGGTTCACCGACAACGACTTCTCGCAATACAATACATCAATCATTGTTGTGAGATACAGCACCCTAAGATCAGTTTGAAGTCGTAAACGACAAAGCTGTTTCACGTCGTGACCAACAAAGATAAACATCAACAGCAGGGCGAGCGACCAACAGATAGTTAGTCCGTCGGCATCCGCCGGTTGATGAGTCACTCCACCAAATCTGAGATGATAACAACAACAGAAATTCCGTTTCTGAATTCAGCTCCAACTTATCTCAGATTATGCATTACCGTTAAAGCCCGGGGCCCTTTGGAGAGTCGGGGATTGCTGGCACATGTCTGGTTGATCAATCGATCACAAGATTCACAACTTGACCGGTTGACCACTACTTTGCGCATACCGTAGCAGCAGCATACCTTTGCATTTTGACAAGAATTCAACATCTCTCCAAATCCACCCAGGCGAACTAGTTACCGGTCCACGAACTTTCACTGGGTCAACTACGAGGTAAGCACATAATTTGCTCCACCGACTCGACCACGTCGAGAATCTGTTCATTGACAGGAAGATAACGACGCTATCTTTGAATCGCGATTGGTCGCATACATTCCCGGGTTCAACGGAACGTTCTTTGCTCCAGCGGTATCCATCAGATCAGTCATCAGCCAAATGAAGACCATGGTCCTCTTCACTACCACTAGTACTGAAGACATAAATGACAGGATGCGTACCCTCGCTCTTAATCTAATCTCGCCGTCTCGAATCTATCAATCTGGCATACTGACAGCCATTCCTGCACGCGCGCCAACCGCAGGGTGTTCCAGAAGGCCCGAGAGCAGCGACGGGCCATCAGTGAATGCCTCCATCGCGGAGAAACATCACCACTTCGTTGTAACGTTGACGGGACCCAGAGGTTAGGTTTGTCCATGAGTCGACTGAGGAGGTACTGGCGGATCTCCGAACCCTTCAACAAGTACGAGTAACTCCAATAATAAATTAGGAGTGCTGACCATGGCAAATAATTCTTGGATGTCGTTATATAATAAGTGCACGCCTTGGAAGACTCAACTTGGCACTAATGTCAAAGCGGATGTAGTAAGTAGTGCAGTGCGATAAGTCAAAGCAGCCATCCGGGTTGAAGAGACTGGTGACTTCGACGGGTGCACATGTTGAGTTGGATGGGCCCCGCTTCTAACTTGGCAGTGGTTGGTCGTGTGTACTCAAGCAGAAGATAAGTCTGCAAACGAGTCGAATAGTACATAGTAACTTTGATGAACACTCTAGTCGACAAAAATACAACAGCATACGAAAATGAGGTAGCTAGAACGCAAAAAAATATATCAGGCCTAATCAATTATACAACAGGATGAAAGGATCGCAAATCAACAACATGTGAATACGTGCCAGACGACAGCAATACGATGTAGAACTACACACCAATATGAACAAAAACCATCCTCTGCTCCAGCGGCACTGTCGTCTTCACAGCGTGCGTAGCACGGTTCAGTGCCCAGGCCGCCTTCGTACAGTCCATCACACCATCATCCTTCAAATCTGGGAACATATTCTCATAGAAGGCTTTGACGACGTGTTTTGCGACAGAGTCGTCGACCTGCCACAGCGTCCCGATGACGCTCTTGAACCCCGAAAACTGAAGACCAGCTGCGAGGTGAATCACATCGTCGGGTGTCTCCTCATCTCCGACGGCGGTATGACACGCTGATAAGAACGCGAACTCGGCGTGCGGAATATCTATCTCCATGATATCAAGCAGCGTCAGATCTTCGTCTCTCATGACAAAATGTGAATTGTAAGGCTGCTTTGGGTCCTGCTTGCCATGACAAGCTAGGTGCACCCAGGTGTTCTGCTGCAAAGCTTCGAGCGCACCTGCTCGTGTGGCTGCATCGTCAGATATATTAGTATGTCTGGCCGTTGCAGGGACGAGCTTATGGACAAGCTCGAGCTCGCTGTCGACAGCCAAGAGCGCCTTGCCTTTCCCTGCACCCGGCTGACCCTGTCAGATCGTCACGAAGGATGGAGTGACGCGCTTCTTCATCATCTGTCTAGATCTGACCAGAGCCGAAAGTGTGGGCGTGTAAGAGCAGATGTAGAGATCCTCCAGGCATTGCTCCCTAGAGCCATCTGGGTTCGTTCGAAACGGGTGAGCTGCGTGGAGAGGAATAGATGTGAAGGCTGCAGTTGGACACAGCCAGATTCGACAGTATTTTAGTTTCAGATCATGCCGGAGGACGTTGACGATGGGTAGCATGATCTCGTCCCATACTGTCCGCAAGAGGACTATCAGATCGTTTCGCGGCACTTGAGGGCTCAGGGCAGATGCGTGTCGTATCGCCCTGGCGACGCGGTCCTTGAGATTGGTCAGATCTGCCAGAGTGACAGATGGCAAGGGAACATGATGGGGGTCTCCTGACGTCGGGACGATGATGGCGCTGCGTGAGTATTGGCTCGCAATGAGGATGATGACCGGGCCCTGGCGCGCTGCCGCTTGCAGGTCTGCATACAGAGGTGGGAGCAGGAACCGCGAAAACACTGGAAGATCACGTATCTCAGCTACGGTAGCTTCCCATTGCCTTGTAAGTCTCCTATATTCTGTTGCTGCCCGATCAGCAGCAGCTCTGTCGGTCATTGTTGCAGAACTCTGTGCGGCATTGGAAACGAGCTTGCTCAGCTCCAAATAATTGCGCGCCAGTGCCGGATTTGCTGACTCGAGGTTTTCAACTGGAGTTCTGAGTCGAGATGCCAACGACCATTGCTGGCCATGACCCTGCTCTGCGAGTTCAACAGCGTGCCGTAGATAGCCATTGCGGATAGCACACGATGCTGCATCTACAGGCAGCGATCTGACACCATTGAAGGCAGCAGCAGCTTCTGAAGACCGTGTTGCCAAATGAGCATCCAGAAGCTCGAAAAATGTCGAGTAGGCTTCCAGCGCGGATCCATGACCATGCTGCTCCGCTGAAACGGTCCAATTAAGTGCGCTAATGATGCGGTCAGGGAACCCTTGAGTAGAATGTCTTGATGCGAGTCTGAAATTCTCCATCGCAAGAGACAAATCAGCAGGGTCGTGTAGAATCCGGTAACGAGACAAATAGGCCTCCTGCAGCCGCTTGTAGCTGAAGTGCCTGTGAGGGTGCAGTGAAGACAGAGTCGCCAATGATTCTTGGCAAAGAGTAACGGCTTCCTCAACATCTTCGTTCTCCCCAGTTTCCATAAAACGAGAGCAGAGCGCCGAGCTCAGATTGGAAAGAGTCGAATGATGCCCTGAATGGTCAAGCCGCTGTAACCGAAGGGATTCGCGATACCAATTAATGGCCTCGTTAAGATCCTCGCTGACATGCGATTTGTTGTATCTAGTTTTGAGCGCAAGGGCAAGGTTGTTAAGCGTGATGTCACGATGTGGATGCCCAGGTGGGCGCAACGTTAGGGTCTCGCGACGGAGGCTGATAGCTCGGGGCATGTCTTCAATATCACCACGTATCCTGAAACGGTGGACGAGGGCGCCACCTAGGTTGCCCAGTGAGTAAGCGCGAAATTCGTGCCCCACAGGGCGCAGGTGCAGTGCTTCTTCATACAAAGTGATGGCCTCATCGAGGCCATTAGGATTGTCTTGGTGCTTAAAGCGGGATATGAGTGAAAAGGCAAAGTTGTTCAGGTAGGTATCACGATCAGCATGTCCCGAGGGACACAGAGACACGGCTTCGCGACCAAGCTGTATGCTCATGTCAAGGTCATCGATGCTGACGTGCTGATCAAAGCGTGCTTTAACTGCTCGTGCAAGCTCGTCGAGGGTTCTGGGGCGAAGCCGATGATCCAGAGGACAGAGCTCGAGCACGAGTCTTCGAAGGTGGACGCCTTCATCGGATCCGTCTGTTAGAAGATCGTTGCATTCGTCAATCACATAATCAACACCATTTTCCCCTGCCGCGATGCTACGAAGATACGTGCCCTCTGGACAGAGAGGCAGTAGCTCATGATAGAGTTGGGCAGCTTCGCGGATGTTGCCAGCAGTACCTTTCTTGTCGTGACGCAAATTCAGCGCTTCTGTGAGATTATATAGGGATAAGGGATGATCGGGATGGTGCTGCGGACGCAATGCAAGGGCGTAGCGAAAGAGGGAAGTGGTAGTATCAACCTCTTGAAGATCGTTTCGGATGTAGCCTTGAAGGCGAACCCACGCGAGGTTGGTGAGAGCCGTTGCGCGGTCTGGATGGCCGACCAGACACTGGTTCAGAACCAGCTGAAAATGCTCCATAGCATCGGTCAAGTGAGAGACATTCTTGCTTTTCATGTATGAGGCAAATTGTGCATGGCCCGCATCTGCGTCTCGAGCAATCTCGCAGTCTAGGAGGGACTATAGTTGGCGTTCCGTCAACAAAGCTAACAGGACAGAGTCTGGGGTCGCTCACATCAAACAGTGCGCCGTTTTGATCGTCGCAAGCATGTACAACAGCAACCTTCAGTGCGATAGAAGGTTGGGTACCGTGCACGGCTGGCAAAGATAGATCTACGAGATGTTAGCATATGTGCATGAATGAGAAGCGAATGACTCACCAAATGGGTGATCTCCATGATCGAGTAGCTCATGCCACGACATTTGAAGTTCCCCGATGACCTCTCCACCGCCTAGCATTCGACCAAGCTCATGGGATGCCTTGATCTCTATTGACAATCCAGGCGACGCATTTGATGGTCTATAAACCAATGATCAGTTCTCGTATCACGTCAGAAGATCTCCATGGACTTTACAGAGTGACAGTATCCCCCCACGCTACAGATTTATCAGATGATAGGACACTGATGGCCGATTTCCAGCGTCTCCTCGAGTCGACATTGATGGAAACGTAAATGCCAGCGGGAATGCGCAAGAGGGGACTTGAAGATTCTTTCCGCTGATGACTGTAGATACTAGAGTGTTAGGATCACGAAAGAGATACGAAGATGATATGGAGAGACTCGCCTTCAAGTCTGATATATTGGCTTTCTGAGCTACCTGGCATGATGTTGCGATGGAGCAAAATTATGAGGATCGATGATGAGTAGAGTGATGGACGGGATGAATGGGAAGGGAAGATGGGAGTGATGATATGGGGACTGCGGATAGAATTCGGCTGAGTGGGAGATTGAGCGCTAGAGTTCAGGTCGTGTATTTCCATATTGTCGGTGGATGTTCGGCACGATAGACGCTGGTATGATCGCACAAGCGCTGGGAATGGAGATCACCGACCAGGATTAGCAGAATATCTGTGCTAAAGTAAAGAATGGCATGACCAGTTTGCGGCGAAAGTGGCCTGCCAACGTTGAAAGGGACATGCGAGTCTCAGAGTGATTGCTGCTCCTGGACTTGTATCGTACTACTCAGTTAGCACGCAAAGGCAAAATGTAGAAGTGAGTATATTTCGTGAGGTAATGACAGAGGCAAAAAATGTCTATCCCGCTGAAAACGGCGCGCAAAGACAAGATGAATGATTACATACTACTGGTCCAATTGAGCTGACGGTGCCATGGGGAAGGATGATCTTGCCTGCAGCGACTCGCGAGGAATAAGAAAGAATAAGGCGAGAATGCAACCAACTATATCCTCGTTCGGTGATTGATGATTGACGAACGAAATATTGAGAACGCTGTGACCGCTACCGGATTCACTCACCGCCGATCGAGAGATAACAAACTGAACCCTGCGGAAAAGGAATATCCATTATAGGTGGCACTGCATGAATAGGTTGGCAGGTCCATAGTGTAGGGAAGCCTTGAAGGGACAGAACCATACCTCGGCCAAGGACATGGTTATTGAAATTAGTACGACTTGAGGCTGCAAAATGGCAGAGGTTACAGGAGCTGACCATTGCAGTAAACGTCTGAATGTGGAGCTTCGACGAGAGGGAGGGGTTGTATTGGAGGCAAGGGTGGTGTCGATTGAACAAAGTGCAGAGTGACTGTCGAGTCAATGGTGAAAGAAACAGCATGAAAAGGGAATCACCGGATATGAAGCGCATCTCGTAGGAGATGGACGTGGACTGTAATGATGTGAATAAAGGAGGTGGTGCGGACAGCTACTTTACTAAGCGTGAATCGTCGTGCACTACGTCCACCTTGAACTGCATCAAGTACGAACAGATGAATTATGATTATATTCGGACTCCATAGCTAGAGAGCAGAGGTACAAGGAATTCGAACTTGGGTGTCGACCATAAAAACCGAATTGCAACGTGCCGGCGGCATCCCGTTCTCACGGTGTTTCTTATGGTGCACGTCACTTAGCGTTTACATTAGGTAATCGTAAATTTTCGCAGATAAACAGACTTAGTCGCCACTACTTTTGTGCAGGCGCCAAATTGAGGCCAAAAAGTCGCAACCCTAACCCCTAGTCCAAATTAGGCTGGAGTGGGAGGAGCAGCTTCGATATTAGTGTAGCTGCAGTCAAGTTACAGCTATGCATTGCACGGAATACCTAGTGATCGTGAATGTAAATAATATATCAGCTATTCCTTGTTACAGGGACCATCCATAATGGCCAGAAAAGCCAAAAAAACTTCAGTTGCATCAAATTTTTCAGTGGATGGAGGTGTACAGGTCAGGACTTATCACCTGAGATGCTCAGTTACAGGTCAAACAATTCAGCTCTACACACTATAAATCACACAGACGAGTTCCTGAAACAGTAGCAAGGGTCTTTGATCATGTATAGCCACATTTTGTAGGGATGTGCCAAATTGACCTTGGAAGGAAAAAAAACTCCCTCAAATTTGAATATTATCAAAATCCATCTGGAGGTTTTGTTCTTTAGGCAAAAACAAGCATTTTTGCCAGAGGGATAAAAAATTGGGTGAAATTTTGAGGTGCTAAAAATGTTGCACAAAAGTAGTGGTGACTAAGTGACGTGCACCATAGCAATTTCCTTCAGTTCCCTTGCATATGATCTTTCAGAATTTCAGACCCGGCTTATGGCAATCATTCTATAAATGATAGCATCTTGTAATTTAAAAGAGTCCAAAAGAGACTACACGGACCACCAACAACACCGAATAAGTCACACATGAGACGTTACACCGTACGGTCTGCAGGTAACATGTCGGACATGGAAATACATAGGGCTTCGGGGTCGTTCACATGCCAGTTAGTCATGCCAGAGATGGAGGTGCATGCATGTGGTGAGTATTGCAAGGATAAAGACCTGAAAACTATAGGGTTTGGGGGGTGTTGTAAGTAGAAATTCGCAACAGAAGTTGGAAGTGCATACTGTTCGAGGAAGTTTGCGGTCTGGGCGTGCAGAACATTGATGGTGTAATCATGTTGAAGGGTATATGGTTCACTCACAACATAGGAAAACAGCACTGGGGTGAGGTCGTTCATGGCTGAGAGGACTTTTGGAACAACAATCATTGATAAGCACATAAACATATCCAAACCCTGACTCACACAAACTGCATGTGTAGTAAAACATATTGTGTTGCACCAGGATGGCGCCCAGAGGGCCCCTGGCTGTCCGCCAGCTCTGTATGACACATATGAGTGCGAGGAAGAACAATCCTGGGGAGAGCGCTGGTCAGTGCATGTCTGTAATGTATGTGTCCAGTTCCGGGCGACATACCTAGTGCAAACACAAATGAGGGAAGAAATGGCATGGAGAAATGAATAATGTGCATGTTCCAGGAGCAGCCTACAGTTCCTGAGATCGTGCTAGTTGTAGCTGTGAAAGTGGAGTGAACATGGGTGAATAGTAGTGGGTGAAGGTGAGAGTACAAACCATCAGAGGTTGCAAACCAAAAGCCGATGAATGATACAGTGATAGCCTGAGTGATTCATCAACAATGCAAGGTGTAGTCAAGGTGGCATGTGACTCACAAAGAGGGTGAACAGCATGGCTATGAGTACAATTCAATTTTTGTTCCAAAGCACGTATGTTCTGAGTATAAAAATACCTGAATGAATCAGATAACAAGCACATGCCTGTCGGAGGGGAAAGGGAGATACATTCAGAGAAAGTGAGTGATACCACCCCAAGACCTGTCAGAGGAAAGAGCAGAGCTCAGCCAGGAACCGCAGGCAACATATACCGTGCACGCACATGAGTAAATATTCATCAACATCCAGCATTTCTGGCGAATTCACGCAGTCAGTGTCATTCATCAGCGGGCAAGTCTGCTACATGCTCACAGCATCAGCATCCTTGTTTGGGGCGAAGATCACTGAAAAATGACATGTCAGTTTATTATCGTTGGGATGTGTGGTACTGCTTGAAATCAACGCACTATATAGGTCTGCAGTGACGAGGGAAAAGGGGACGTATCGTGCAATGATATAAAGAGCTTTGACCTTAGTCCAACGCAACTGAAGCAGAAATGTCCACTTTGAACAGCATGGTATCAGTACTCAAAGCGAGGCGCATAGCGGGACAAGTGCATGACTTACCTCTTCGTGAAATGAACTAATGTAATCATAGGTCTGTATAAACAGGATCAACAGCAGATGGGAATGGATTGGGACAAGCCTACCCAAATTGTAACCAGCATAACTGAATTGTTAAATTAGAACGAAGGGAGGGAGAAGCAGTTCAGACCGCACGCACCAATGTATACTGGTGGTCGGGCATGATGAGTATCTGTTAATATCTTGCCTTCGTATTATGACATACTGCCAAGTAATGCAAATTCCAGGCCATTGTGACTTGGATATCGTCAGCCAAAGGCTCCATCTACTCTCGTTCGAGTGGCAAAATAGGTTTTGTGCATACATGATACAGCTTTTCTTATCTCTTGTGAATGAGCCTGAGAACATGGCCATTAGTTAGACCTAGTCCTATATATGATTAGATTTAATGGACACAAAGTTGATTTGGACGCTGGCATGTGCCCATTGTGTCGGTCCTTGATTCCTGTTTTTGAAGTTTGAAACACCATCAGTCCTTGAAGAACACAGCCACCTTGGAGGGACTCACGTTTATACAGGCTTTGATCTACCCGGCCGTTTCCAATGTACACTTCTTTCGCAGATAGCTTTGATACATGGGTGATCATGATATGAAAGCAGACTGAAAGAGCCCAATTAACAGCTGATGTTGGCAATATTGAAGGAAGTTGACACCCAGATCTATACCTGATTTGTATTAAACCACCTCAATGAAGTCGCGCATATGTGCATTGGCATCGTCCACTACCTAGTATGAGACTTCTTCAGGTTTCTGACAACTTGAAAGCTTTATGGTATCAAACCATATGCATATCCCTTGTTATCGGTTCATTAGGAGGATGGATATATTAGCGCACCCTTGATCTTGAGAAGTCTGGCATGATGTCGACGAAACACATCAGCAAAACCCTCCTGGGCTAAATATACATGATTATCAAAAATTATTCGCTAATTTCTCATAATTTCTCAAAAAACATCTGGTTAGAAGGATTGTATGGATTATGTTACCCCAAATAACTTTGACAGGATTGGTTACAATCATTAGTTATTTGACAAATTTGTCATGCATTTGAGAGACCATCCATTCAAACTTAGAAGAGCATCATTCACAAATATAAACACCATCAGACAACATTACACAAAAGAATTAGTTTTTTTATTTAGAAAATGGTATGTAAAGTAGCAACACAGCTAGTAATGACCAACATGGACACTTGTAGAATATAGACACAAAAGTAATTACTGTATAGCTACAATTGACCGCAAATACCTAATCCCTGGCTTAGATAAAGCAAAGCCGTACCTGTTGCAGCAAGAATGAGTGTGGACAAGCACATACAGGTGTGAATGTGTGGATGAGCATAAGCTAATAAAGCTACATTAGTAAGACGCGCGAGTGGATTTATAGAAAGGACATACAGTGACCCCTGGAAGGAGGATCAACACACTGCGAATGGCAGACAACAACAATGATCAGCATGGTTCGAGCTCGAAGGAGAATCAACACACTCACCCGCTGTGAACAGCAGACAACGAGTTGGATCAGTGTGGCAGTTGGGTGGTTGCTTGAATGATGATCGACGCACTCACTACCTGCGAATGGCACACAATGACTTGGATCAGCGTGGCTCTGGCTGGAACAAGGACCGACACACTCACTTCAAACGGATCCAAGTAAAGTTGATATGAACTTGATACCTATTTTGTAGTTGCAAATGTTGAATAGAACTTTTTAAAAAACCTAAGACATACCTATCAGCTTGATGATTGAGGCTGATGATGTTGAACATTGAGGCATGAGGGATCGATGTCAGAAGTTCAAAAAGTTTCCAAATCAAAGTCATGTGAGCCAAACAAATACACGCAAATGGTTCAATATCAACAAACAGTCACATGAGCGAAACAAATATGTGCAAATGATGAACTTCAACGAAACTTTACTCAGTTGTTCGCCGCTTGTTCTAGTCAGTAGTAGGTGCGCATGTTTTTTTTCTTGTTTACTACTATCTTTAACCTTGCAGTGTGCTACTATGACCACCACTTGCGCCCTACACTACATCCTACCCTCCATCTTGTGCTTCCTGTCTCGGCCCTCTTTCCACTCTTCTGGCGCTCTCCAGTGTCCTCCGCACACGTTCGAGCCACGTCAGCATTCGCTGATGTGCGCCGGGCATGTGCGCTAAGCACTGGTGGCTGCTGGGATTGGGTGGGGCGTCCCACTGTTCTGAATGATTGTAACGATTTTTGATTGAATTTGTATTTAGATAGATATACCTCTTGTATATTCAAGTAATTCTTGACATTTTGTGATATTTGAATCCCACATTATCATCTTCTAGCTATTGCGAAGACTTGGTTACAAATGATCTCAAAGGTGCGTGATTCAGTGCCGGCCATCTGATTGTTACGCTGCTCACTGACCCGTTAGGTTTCAGTGTGGGTCAAGTCTGAGTTATATTCTCCTTGCCCCCAAAGTCTTTACAATTTCTCTTTCCACCCACTGTCAACATTCCTCCTCACCTTGCATATATCGAATGGTTCACTCCCTTCCCACCTGCTCTGGACTGAAACAATGGACTTTATAAACTGTCAAGATTGATGCGAGGTAGTGACAGAGTGGCTAGTATTGTGCCAGTGGGGTGATATCGTGCGCAGTATCCACCTTATACCGAAGTTTGGAGACTTGGCTCCACGAGAATGGACGAGTGAGACTGTTCTTGAGGACTGTAACACATTTTGGGTCAACTCATACATTGATAGACATATTTTTTCAATATTCAGATAATCCTTACTAATTCTCTTCTGTTGTGAAACAATTTCATATTGCTGCTATGTTGTTATCAACTTTGTTTCTAAACATGAGTAATTAGGAAAAATTATACGAACTTTCAAGATTACATGAAATTTAGCCCTGGAGGGATTTGCTGATGCAACTGTGCATGTTGCTAGAAAAGAAGACTGGGGTGACCTCCGATCAAACTCACAATAAAGAACCTTGGTGGAGAGGCGCAGCCTCGACACTTGGTCTGAATAAGATGTGAAAACCTGAAAGCTACTCTACAAGTGGTGCTACTCTTAAGTGCCTTCTAAAGGCTCCGAACCGGCCAAACCTACTGACTCCCCAAACCGGAAGTGCTCCTGAGGCACATGCACTCTACTACAAATACCCCCCACAAAAATGCGACGTCCCCGGAGTCGCATCGTCCAAGGAGAAAGGAAAAAGAAAGGAAAAAATCTGCATATTCGGCCGTATCTTTCTCACTCTTCCGCTTCTCATCCTCTCTGTCTTTTTACATCTATTCTTTTGTTCCAGCTTCTTCCTCTTCGCTTCGCGTCTCATTTCCTTCCCTTTCTTTCTCCATCTCATCTAGCAGTGTGCCCGTGCACGGCAGGAACAGTCTAAGTCTTCTCGCGTGGAACCACCCCGCCATTGGAAATCCTTCAAGAGTTTCTAGTGCGTATGAATTCGTTCACTGAGAGGTTACTCGGCAAGGGGCGGACCAACGTGGTATGATCTTTCTTGATGACTTGTAGTTGCCATCAACGTCGCTCGCATATACTTGTATGAGTTGGCCTGGGTGAAAGACAACATGTCCTGTTGACGATGCGAGGACTCGTTTGTCGAACACTGCTTTACGTTTGAGTGAATCTGCGACGTGGTTGGCCAAGGCATCTAGCCATTGTTGCGCTACGTACAGAGTGGACGTGTACGTCTGCTGTGGAGAGTTGGTTAGAAGTGGCTGGAAGAGGTGTGCATGGCGTGTCGACGACTAGGCCAAGTAGGAGTTCTCTTGGCGAGAATTGGTAGGCTGGTAGGACCCTCCCATTGAGATGTTCAATGGCCTGGTCAAAGTGGTCAGACCAGGCCGCAGGTATGGTCTGCGGGTCAACGTTGACATAGTTATCTTCTCCCAACTGGGGGGCACACATGTACTTGAGCTGTGCCAATAAGATCTTGTTGGTGCCTTCTACGAGCCCATTGACCCATGGAGCATAGGCTGCCATGACATGACTTTTGACTTCATGTGCATCGCACCATGTCTTCACATCCATGTTATCGAAATGCTTTCCTCCATCTGTCATCAATACCTCCGGTTGTCTGAAGTCGTGTCGTATTTTCTTGAGTCCTGCCAACATTGTCTTTGCAGTGCTGTGTACCTTGAGTTTGAATCCCCAAACATATTGTGAGTATGTATCAATGATGAGAAGAACATTGTGAAATCCTCCCTTTGCTCTGGGAATGGCTAAGTAGTCCGCGACAAATAGTTCAAATGGGTGCCTTCATACGATAGGTTTGAGGAGAGAGTTGATGTGTGCTGCACTGAATCCCTTGCACTGTGTGCAATCTACGATGGCGGTGCTTATGGATCAGTCCAATCGAGGGCTGTATATGCGATCAATCAGCTGTAGCTTCACTAAGTCTCTCCCCCAATGCCCTTTTGTCGAGTGCTCTATCCTTGCCAGTTCCATAGCTTCCTCCTGCGTGACGCATTCTAACTTGCCATGTACTTGTGTTGACGAGTCATTGGGTACCCACCAAAGTTTACCCTTGGAGATGAAGAAGTGTTGTGCTCGATGACGAGCACGCCTTTTCTCCTTGACTGTCTTCTCTGAGTCTAAGTCCTGAATCGCGTCGACAATTTCTAAAAACAAAGGTTCATTAGCAAAGCGTGATCATAAGGCGTCCACATTCGTGGTTGATACTTGAGTACTAGATCCTACTGCAAACAAATCTTGCATGATTCCTCATGCTTCTTCCCAATCTTCACTAACTGTCCATCCACTGCCATCTCCTTTGATTCGTTCCCTTGTCATGAATCCGCGACTCAGTCCATCAGCCACTGTGTTTGATGTTCCTGCTCGGTGTCGAACATCAGTTATATGGTATGCAAGGATTCTGTCCCTCCAACGTGTGTGTACCATGTTAAGTTTTGGACTGAGTAGCGTGTCCCATAGGGCTTGGCAATCTGTTTCTATTTCCACTGGTGCACCCCAGATAATGTCTGAAAATTGATCTAGAGCGTACTTCAGTGCAGCGAACTCAAGTATAAATGGCTTGTACTTCTCTTCGGTAGGTGATGTGCGTTTTGACGCATATGCTATTGGGTGAATGGATGTGACTACTTTCCCTGATGTTAGAGTGGAGGTGTGTTTCTGGGCCAGTATGGTGCCAAATCCATCTTG